TTTCTTACTTTTTATTGTTTGTTTAAAAATGCTTCTCACATGCTGCTTGTTACATAGCAGGGAATTAAATCTGAATTTTACAGGTTGCCACATGAGAACAGTGAGGATAAATGAGAACACTTCACCCTGTGTATTCCAGATAATGGCTTATTTTAAAAAATCTTTCCATGTGTGACTTACATAATCCTCATAGATGCCCCTTTTCTGACCTTGGCATAGCCAGGCACATGCCACCAATTCCTTCCACATAGTTGAATCACTGAACCATTGATCAATCAGAACAATCCCGTTCTCTTTCCTCCAGACTCAGAACTGTGGTTCCTCCTCATATAGCTCCAACATAAAACCTCTCCAGAGATTAGTCTGTCAAATGGTAACTAGCATACATTCTGACCTACTATTCAATCTTTCTACTGGTTTGTCCTGTACACCCAACTCTTTCCACTCTGGTTACTTACATCTGTACACCATTACTCAATGCATTCTCCCTCCCTATTTCAACAGTTCCTCCTCTTGTTGCAGTAATCCCTCTCTATTGTTTATAATAATCACTATGATTAAAATCTCACTTTACTATATTGATCTATTTTAATTTGATAGATGCTCTTGAATGTCGAGCTTAGACTGACTATACAGTATACTTGTATTAATGAAATTAGGCTAAAATTCACAAGAACAAAAACTTTTACACATGCTGGGATTCATCAAGGCTAAACAAATACACACAGAAGCCCAGCTAATTGCTATTTGTGAATAACAGGGTATGTTCTTCATTTTTAAAAATTACTGGAGAACCTAAAATCTAGTTACACTTGCCAGTCTTAGAAATATTTGCTCTTCTAGTCCCCTACAGATGGCCTGCTTCAGATAGAGATCAGTTAACAGTTTGCCTACTATATGCATGCCTTTAAATTAGCTCCAAAACCCACAGTAAGACAAATTACATAGGAAATTTACAGAAATAATTTGTTAAATGAAAATGTTAGAGTTTTATAGTTTATGCACTTAGACATATGAAAGAGAGATTAATAACAATTAAAGCACATTTTATAAGGTTATTAACTTATATAATGTACAACCTACAAGATGCAGAGTCAAAATGCCCATATTTTAAGCTGGAAATTTGTTTATTTAATGCCCTGAAACTGTAGAATGATTTCAGTCCTTAATAGGTTGACAACTGGCCAGTGAATCATATTATTTTTATGTATTTCAGTTTTGATAACTCTGATTCAGGATGAATCATATTACATATTGAACCACAGATGGGTTGAGTACTTTGTCACAAGTGGCCTAAGAAAAGGCAGAATTTGAATTCAAATTCAAGTCCATCAAAGGTTGTATTTTGAATCAGTCTGCTGAATCAGATGCTTTCTATAACCAAAAATCATTACCAAGTAGAACATTTGCAGCTTGTGAGAGAAAAGCTTTTGGATATACCTTATGAATGCAGAAAATAAATTGTGTCTGAGAGGTGTTAATGAGTAGATATTAATAAATAACCAGACGACCTCCATAGTAGTATGGCATCATTTTAAAGCATAAAAGGAAGGGCAAAAAGAACTTTGGTATCACTTACAAACATTTTTAATGAGAAAAGAAAGATATGAATACAATTAGACAACTTTACCTAAGTCACCACATTTAGCCCTCAAACTTTTCGGTTCAGTAGTTTATATACAGGCAGTTCTGAGACCTGTTACTTCATACTTGGCCATGTCTTGTAACTCCCTCTTATGGATTTCAGTACGGCTGGAGTTACAAGACTGGAATACAGTCACAGTTGGAGGAAACAACCCATGAAGGCATGGACAAGAGGTCCCTATGTTTCTTCCTACCAGTCCTTGTCATTTTACATATCAGCCCTTGGCAGCTAACATGTACTCTTTCTGACTTGGAGGCTTGAGAATATATACAAAGTTACAATCAGAGATTTTATTCCTTTTCTTGGAGAGCTAATAATAGCCAAAATATGAAACACCAAGCTTCCTTAACTGACATACATACATGACAAGAAATATCACTGATAATATCTAGCAATTATCCTACACATTCAGAGGAACAATTAAGAAATAGTTATGGCCGTATTTCTTTGTTATTTGTCACAATCAGTCTCCAGGTGCTACATTAATCATGGTCAGATGTGAGCCAGATGTGTTCATCATCATGACTAGATCTAGCTAAGTGTCACAAAGATCGAGAGCATCCAATTCAACTTGAATCCTCTCACTGACCTTGATCAGATCACTCAACTCCTTTAAGCCTCCATTTCCTCATTTGCAACATTGAATAATAATAGTATAGACATAATAAATAGCAGTATTGTATGTACAAAGTATATTATGTATAAAGAAGTGTTATTCTTTGTTTTATGCCTGTAGTGGCCTCTTTTAAACTGTTCAAATGTTCAAGACTTGATTGAAAAGATTTTCATCATGGCTTAACAAATGTGGATGTCTGAGACATGAATCTAGCAATCCAAAGTCTTCCCAAACAGAAGGACTCTTAGCTATGTGTGAGGAATATTTAGATTCCTGTCACCAAACCATGTGATAAACAGAGCATCATAGAAGGAACAGACTTAAGTCATAATTGCAGTCCTGCTAAAATAAATAGCTAAACATATCTCCACCTAGTCTCCTGATCTCTGTGTCCTCACCCATACAGTGGCAGAATTTGTTTTATATGGTCACAGGATTCTTCTCAGTTCAATGTTACTAAGATTGACTCTTCAAAAAGTGTGAAATGGATCAACCATTCATTCAAGTTTTAATCTAACTATTCTTTGAGGGCTGAGTCCTATCCTGAGCACTGTGGAGGCAGGGGTTCACCGTTAAAATAGAAAGTGGCTGTGCATGATGGTGCATGTCTTTAGTGGCTATACTCAGGGGATAGAGACGGGCCAGCCTGGTCTACATAAAGAGTTCCAGGCCAGCTAAGGACACCAAGTGAGATCTTCTCTCAAAAACAAAATGAAATGAAAAGTAAAAAGGAAACATCCTCATTTTCAAGAATTTAGTTTGATGCAGAGAGAAAAAATGATAAATTAAACATGAACCATGGTGGAACAAGTGAGTATACCATCAAGGTGCAAAGGATTAGTCTCTGAAGCCTTTTAAACAACTTTCTTTTCACAGTTCTGACACAGAAAGGGAAAATGCACAATTCCTTCTTGAACAACTAAACTAGAAAGAGCTTCCCTTGAGTTAAAAGTGCAAAGAAAGCTGGCAAATGAGGTGAAGGCAAGAAAGGTTTCTTTTCAGAAAAGAATGAAGACACAAACAAGAGAGCTTGTCAGTGAAAGGAACCGGAAGGATGGAAGATACTGGACCTTAATATACACCAGGGGCTGCATTTTGAGTATCCATCACAGCACTCTAATTACTGTATACTGTACTGTTCATATTTTTATGGGTCATCTGAGAAGTAAAGGTTCAATAAAGGTTACATAAACCGACAAGTAGAGCACACCTGTAAGCCCAGCACTCCAGAGGCTGAGACAGGAAAGGTGCCAGTTTAAGTCCAGTGTGGGTTGTATAGCAAGATCATATGACACAGCTATCCACTCTTGGGTGCACACCTAAAGGAGACAATGTCAGTATGGAAGAGATACCATCACACCCACGTTTGTTGTCTTTATTCATATAATTGAGTTGTGCAATCACCCTCGGTACCATAAACATGTAACTAGATGAAGCAAACATGGAATGAAGGTCAGTGAGATGGCTCAGTGGGTAAAAGGGTCTACTGACAAATCTGATGACCCCAGGATCCACATGGTAGGAGGAAATCCCCTCCCACTAGCAGTACTCTGACCTTCAAACAGTATACAGACACACATGATAAATAAAATGTAAAAACAGAGAGAGGGGGTGGAGAGAAGGAGAGAGTGAGGGAGAGAAAGAGAGTAAAAGAGAGAAGGAAGGAAAGGGAAAGAAAGAAAAAATGTGAAATTCTTCCATAATAAAATATTACTTAGACATAAAGAATAAAATGTGGATGTAATAAAATATCATAATGCTAATCAAAACAAACAAGACTCAGAAGGAAATGTTACATGCTTTCCCTCATATAAAGAATCTGAATGTTTTCTAAAGACATGAAGTAGAAGGGGATCTATTTAGAAAGAGGAGGGGGCCAGTAAGAGGTGGGAGGAAGTGAAAGAGAGGGCAATTGGGAAGAAGAATATGGTCAAACTGTATTCTATTATAAAAGTAATGCCAATTATTAGAATTAGAATACACTAATGAAATATTCAATAATATTCTCTAAAAGTTCTGAAACATTGTTCAACATAAATTATACAACACGGTGTCCACACACCATTATTTCCCTCCATTTCCTTCTAGTGGCCCCAATCTCCAAAGTATTTTTAGAGGAGATTACTTTACTGAAGACCTGAACTAGAGTCTGTACTCAGTACTTACTAAGCTTCAACTGAGTGCCTGTCCAGGGCATTAAAGGGGAGGAAACACAAGACCATGTAACACTCTAAGAAACTTGAAGCTCTCCATGTGGCTTTCACATCTAAGCACCCATGCAGAGATCATGCTTCACTCTACTTACCAAACAATGCAATTGATCTCATTTTGGAAGTGTCGACTTCAGGTTCAGGATAAAGAACGCATTATCTATCAGGAAACAAGGTTAATCCCAGTTTTACATGAAAAGAAAATCCTTCCAGGTTTTATTGGGCAGAACAGGTTGAACTGGGAGGGGAAAGAGGAAAGGTAAAAGACCAAATCAGGGCAAGGATGCAGAACAGGGTTTATCTCCGCTTAATTATAAAACAGTTGAAAGGCAATGACCATAGTAATTTTAGCAACACCTTGAAGTCTTTGGTTTTCCTCAGAAACGTTGGTTCTATCTGGTCATAATTGGAAAGATCTCTAATTCTGTAATAATTGCATCAGTTTAAGATAATGAGTGAGTTTGATTCTTCTGCTATACTTTCACTTCTGGGACTCATTCTCATTTTTATTTTAAATATTAAAGTCTTTATGGCTAAAGCATACAAACTACAGTCTCCTCCAGGACCTAAACCTTGGCCAGTTATTGGAAATCTACACATCCTCAACCTGAAGAGACCATATCAAACCATGTTAGAGGTAAGGCATAAAGGCATAGAGGCATACATGATCATTCATTTGGGGTGTGTGTGTGTGTGTGTGTGTGTGTGTGTGTGTGTGTGTGTTGCCACATCATTCTTGACCTGAGATTCTTTTTACATGTGCTAAGAGTAGTTCATATATATACATATATATATATATATATATATACATATATATATATATTGAAGTGTGTGTGAGAGAGAGAGAGAGAGAGAGTGTGTGTGTGTGTGTGTGTGTGTTTGTGTGTGTGTGTGTTTGTTAATTAGCATATATTATTGAAGGACTTAAATTATACTTTTATTCTGAAGTATTTATGGCATATAATCTTCACCTCAAATGTTTTGGTCTAGATGTTTTTCATATATGACTTACTGCATAACAACTAAGTTTTGATTATTGATTTATCTGCAAACTTTAAGTTAACTACTCAAAACTCTATCATAAATAAGATGAAAATCTATATTATTAATCTAACAGTTTAGATATAGATCTTCTATTAATCTGATGAATGAGTTCAGCTTCTGTCAGGTGTGTGCTGTCTGCCAGTGTATAGAGCTGGTGGAAAAACTGGTCTAAATTTCTCCAATTTTTTCACTGAAAAAAAAAAACCATAGTTGTTAGTTATAGGAATAAATAATGTTAACATTTGGAGTTGGCAAATTGACTACAAAATTTAAACTTTAAGTTATAAAGTGTTTTTGAGTTGAGTTCTCATAGAATTTGCAACATTTTAACTTTAAAATCTTAGGAGACAAGGTATTGAAGAAAAAACTGTAATTTTACCTAAATCAGCACAAAATTAAAACACTTTACATTTTGTTTTATGCTTTTTTGTTTAATAAATCAATACAGGGATTTACATACTCCTCCTAACTAACATAGGAGAAAATAAAATGCCATTTTTATCGCCATTTTACAGATAAGTACACTTCATAGAAATTAACTTTCTAGAAACAAAACCATTACCTAAAACAAGTTTGTGGCCCCTTATCCCACAATGCAAAATTAGGATAACTTCTCAGAAGTATGAGATCTCCCTTCAACAAATCCTTTCATCTAATTATGTGCTCCTCAACTTTATTTTTACACTATCCCTGCCCTTTGCTTATGTATTAACCAGCCTAAATTCTTTATATGTTCTTTCATTTTCTTTCTCATTTCCACAGATATGCCATTGTTTCGAATGATTTCTGCCTACAAAAAGGGAGGTTTCAATGCTTTTCCATAACCTGTACTCTTTTATATTACACTTATCCTTGAATTGTTTTTCTGATAAGAGCTAATCCACCCTATGTAAAGTAGTTCTCAAACAAAACACTCTGTTCTCCAATTCCCATTTTAATTTCTACTTCTGCAATAGTAACCTTAATTATAATAACTTTCTAAATTATTGAGTCATCCTTCCATTCCCATTGCAACTTTAAATAAGTCAAGTTTCGTATATAAAGGAGCATTCTGGGCTGTCATCTCCGTCTTCACCAAAGCCACTAGGTTAAGACCACAAGCTCTGAGTCAGTGTGCCATGGATTGTGTGACTCTTGCTGAGCACCTCCACCTATTGTGTGACCTCATAAAGATACAATAACCTTCCCATTCAATAAAAACGATGTATCTACATCAGCAAAGACGTAACAGAGCTAAGAATAAGTCAGGATGTCATATATACTGGCTTTTGCTACTTTTCAATTATTAAAAAAAGTCCAATGTTTCTTTCAATAAAGAATGTTACCAGAAAGGAAAATTAACTTGGCCCTACTAACATCATAGCACATCCTCAGAAACAGGATGTTCATATGGAATGTATCAGTGTGGTACCAAAGAAGTTTTTTGTTTTCCTAGAGTTCTAGCTGAGCATTTTCTGTTTGCAAACAAAACCATAATATGGAGAGAAATGCCTCCATTCTGCAGTAAAAGACAAGTCTTACACTCAAATTTGAAATCAAATAGAGCCCAGGGACCACCAACAGAAGGTCATCAGAGTGGCTCCAGGTGCTGTGATGGCTGGAGAAGTAACCCTAGTAACACAGTCCAGAGGTCATGATCAACTCCACTTTTTATTATACTATGATGTTTTAGTTGTTTCTCTGCTTTCTTTTGTGTACATCAAAGCTCTCCAAGAAATATGGCTCCATTTACAGCATTCATATGGGACCAAGGAAGGTGGTGGTGCTTTCTGGCTATGAGACAGTGAAAGATGCCCTTGTTAAATACGGCAATCAGTTTGAGGAGCGTTCCCGAGTGCCTATATTTGAAAGACTTTTTAATGGAAAAGGTAATGACCCCTAAACATCAAATATGTCAAAATCATTAAATCAACTATGTTTTATTTATTCCTATCTCTTTTCTTTGATAGTTGCATATGCTTTGGACCAGTCTTTCTCCCTGGAAAATAATGAATTTGTTTACAATAGTTCATTAACACCTCATTTGCACCTAACTTGATATAAGAATAAGATACTCAAAAATTGTGTACTGAACTTATTGACAAAAAATACAAAATGTTTTCCCAACCCAAAAGTCCTTGCTGTACAACTAGAAAAAGAAAATGCCTTCTTACTGAGTAAGCATTACAACAGAAGAATATTTCACAATCTGCCACTGTAAAACCAGAAGGATGCCTTTTACACACTGGAACAAATGTATACATTACATACTCTCAGGGAAAAAAATAGCAAGGACTCAAGATACTGTCTTTTTAAATTGAACTCACGCAAAGAAAATCAAATGTACCATATATTTATGGCAAAAACTTGCTTTGTAAATTAGGGCAAGTCCCTCCCCCCTCTTAAAGTTATGCTCCTGTCTTCTGAAAAACAAGGGTCTTACCTCCATGATCATTTCAGACATGTCTCCAGATCTTTAGGAAAGACATTCTGGTCATACAGACATCCATACAAAGTGATGGCTTGGTTTTCAGAAAGATTTGTGTTTTTCAAAGAGAAGGGAAAGTTTTTTAATATGTTTTCTACAGTAAATCTTCTAGCAAATGAACAATGGGAGACTTGATACTCTTTTGGGAGACGTTTTCTTTTTTAGCTTGCTGAGAAAAGAAACTAGGGTTTGAAATATGCTGAGTAACTATTAGACTATGCCATCAACACATTTTTTCTCTTACTTTCTGGTAGGGAAAAATTAAAGCTTTTGTTTATATTTTTATTTGTCCTTGAGCACTAAATTTAATACTGCTGGAGGTAACTTAAACCCACTCTTTTCTGTCTGAGGAATTGTCTTTGCTCATGGTGAAACTTGGAAAGCAATGAGAAGATTCAGCTTGACCACTTTAAGGAACTTTGGCATGGGCAAACAGATTATAGAAGACGTAATTATAGAGGAATGCCGGCATCTCATACAAAATTTTGAATCTCACAAAGGTGTGTAGAGCAAATAAAACCATTTCAGTTTTCATGAGAAGGAAATCAACAAAAGGTCGCATGGTTTGAGATAATTTAACTTCTAGAAAAATCCAAGGACACACAAATACCCAATGCTGTCTACTCCAAGACCATCTATGTCAAATTTGTTCTCATTATCTCTTCCTCCTCCCTCCCTCCCTCTCCACCTCTCTCCTTCTCTCCCTCCCCCTCCTTCCCTCTCTCTCCCTCCTTCTCTCTCTCCCTCCTTCTCTCCCTCTCTTTCCTTTATTTCCCGTTTATATTAATCTATTATAATCCACTTTTAATAAATTTTGAACTGTTTGAAAGTATTTTGAAAATATGCTGTCCTCAAATAGTGTACAATAATGTTATTGTAACAGTAATAGTCTTTACATATCATTTTTACATAGTCTTTGCATATTATTCTCAAGCAATGTATAATAATGTTCTTATAACAATAATACAGTCTTTATATACCAATAAATTGACTTTGACATAATACACAGCATCTGGGGACACACAGTAATATTTTCAGGTTTACACTCTCCTACATAAAGGAATTTAAAAACTAGTCCATAATGGTTAGTTCGAGAACAGATAAAAGGTGTTTTGGGCAACAGAATAGACAAGCCTTCTTTCTGCCTGGACAGTTGCCAGGAGGTGGGTGATACACAGAAGAGACAGCAGGGTTAAGCTCATGAAGGGAGAAGTCAAAAAGAAGGCTGGCTCAGTAAGAAATGCCTGAGAGCTACTACCCATGAAGGCTGAGATTTCCAGAACATTATCATATTTCCTTTTTATCTGAACTTTACCTGACCTAACTCAGGCTATAATGCTTTCTCATCTTCAATGCAGGAAGGTACCTCATTGAAAAGGATGTCCTTAGCTTTGTCCAGACAAGGAATGTACTCATTAGTGAAAAGTAGCACCAATCACTGACCAGGACACTTGAAAAGATGATTAGCAACTACCAGCAATTAGAGGTGTTCCAACAGATGCCAAGCTAGACCCCAAATGATGCTGGGCAATCAGATAGCTCCGGGCCTCTTTGCATTTCTTTCTTTCTTTCTTTCTTTCTTTCTTTCTTTCTTTCTTTCTTCCTTCCTTCCTTCCTTCCTTCCTTCCTTCCTTCCCTCTTCCTCCTCCTCCTCCTTCTCCTCCTCCTTCTTCTTCTCTTTTTCTCCTTCTCATCCTCCTCCTTCTCCTTCTCCTCCTTCTTCTTTTTTCCTGATATCCCTTCTCTGAAGAAAGCTTTGGGAACTGAAAAATTTGCTCTGAGGAAACCCTTTTGCTCAAAGCAAAATAGGACTATCATTCTAACTGTCACTGACCTTTCTGTTTTGGAGTTGGCTGCAGAAGATTCTTGGACCTATATTAGATCTTCAGGACTTCCAGTTTTGAAGGAGCTCTGCTCCATCCATCTCTTGGAAGAAGCAATAAGCAGAGTGAAGATAACAGGAGTCTGAGTAGTCTCCCTGAGTGTCCATACTAAGTCTGGTATCATTAGATCACACCTTTTGTGTCCAATCATGTTTTCACTTAACTCTCCGTGGTTCGTGGATACTTTACCCTTTGCTTCCATGCCTCCAATCTAATGGTGCCTATGTAATATATAATAATGACCAAACAAATTTGTTATTCTCTCATTAACTTATCATTTGTGGTGTTTTGAATATGAATGGCCCACATAGGTTCATACATTTGACTACTTGGTCCTCAGTTGGGGGATTGTTTTGGAAGGATTAGGAAGTGTGGCCTTGTTGAAGAAGGTGTGTTCCTGGGGTGGCCTTTGAGATTTCTAAAGCCTACACCATTCCCAGTTCTCTTTCTCAGCATCTTTCTTGTGAATAAGAAAGCAAGCTCTCAGCCACTGCTCTTGTACCATGCCTACCCCATGATGGTAATAGACTCTAACCTTCTGAACATGTAAGCCAATTCAATGTTTTGTTTGTTTGTTTGTTTTTGTTTTTCCAGACAGGATTTCTCTGTGTTGCCCTGGCTATCCTGAAACTCACTTTGTAGACCAGGCTGGCCTCGAACTCACAATGGTCTGCCTGCGTCTGCCTCCCAAGTGCTGGGATTAAAGGCATGCACCACTACTGCCTGGCTAATGCTTTCTTTTATATATTGCTTTGTTCATAGTGACTTCACAGCAATAGAAAAGTAAGTAAGGCTGTCAGTCGTGACTCATTAATCTCAGCGCTCAAGGGGCAGAAGCAGGTGGATCTCGATGAGGGCAAGGCGGATCTGGCCATATAGCAAGCTCTGGGCTAGCCAGGCTACATAGGAAGATTGTACCTTGAAAATAATAAATAAATAAATAAATAAATAAATATGCCTGTTCACAGGTGGTTAGTGCTCATTAAGCCCTCTTCTTGCAATGCACTCAATATGTTATTCTTAAAAAATAAATAAATGTTTGCCTACCGACACCTACTTAATCAAATCATAATCCAAGTAGGGTTTCGTATAAATGCCTTGGCTAAATAATGAAACTAAATAATGAACCGTGGGGCCCATGCATACTAAACAAACACATGATTACTAAGCTGAAGCTGCAGCCTTCATTTTACTTTTGTATTTTGGAACTGGATCCCACTAGGTTGTCTAGGCTGGCCTTGAACTCATTCTACAGCCTAGGAAGGGCTGAACATTAGATCTTCCTAGCTCCACCTCCCCAGTAACACAGATACAGACCTGTGAATCCAGGTCTGATTTTATGCTCTGGGTAGATTTCAGTGATGCAGAAAGCATCAGAATGTATTAGAATGTTCTACCCCAAACTGCAATGCAACCTACAAGGGTGAATGATATTTTCCCATACACAGTGCATTAACAATCCTTTCTCCCACACTGCACTAACAAAGCTGCACACACAAATGTTAAGACTCCTCTGCCACATGGTTCTTTCTTTAGCTGAGCTGAATGCTCACTTCTCTTTCACATTTCCATTCCATTTTCTTTGTGTCCATCTGACCATTTGTGGCAACTTCTGGCCATTAGCCAAAACTATAAACTGCACATTCTTAAAAGACACAATCACAAACAATCCTTCTATGAAACTCTTCACTGCAAAGGCTGCCACAATCAGTGTGGGAGTAGCTTAGTGCTGTGTATGTGACTACTCCTGACCACCCTGATGAATTTCGTTCTAGGAAAACCCTTTGAGATCAAGAAAGTACTGAATGCTTCTGTTGCTAACGTCATTGTGTCTGTGTTGTTCGGGAAACGGTTTGACTACCAAGACCCCCAGTTCTTGAGACTCTTAACGTTAATTGGGGAAAACGTGAAACTCATCGGAAGCTCGAGAATTGTGGTAACTGTACTTTTCCTTTTTTTTTTTTTTTGATTTTGTTCCTCTGAGGTACACTTGATTGTTCAAGAGACTGTGCAAAGGATGTGTTCTTAGTATAATGGTATGACAACCATACTTGTCTAACATACATGATTCTCTCACCACAAATCTCTGCAGTAAATACCTCAATGCATGGGTTGTGAGTCATGTTAAAGTTGTTTGGCTTTGGTCTGTCTCATCATTGTAACCATCTGTCATTTACCTACACCAACAACCATTCATGGGATATGAACTAAGCATCAATTAAATAAGAAGTATATAGTAGAATTCAGTTATGAATGAGGGTTTTAACAAGAAGAACTGACAAGCATATTAAAGAGAAAGAAAAGTGTGCAACAAAATGTTTATGTTGATCCACATATGCTCACAATGTCTCTGCAGCCTGATTATTTTTTTTAATCATTGTTAGTTCTGTCATCTGTGGGCTGGAGAGATGGCTACTCAGATAATAGAAATGGCTGCTATTCCAGAGGATCCTAGTTCCATTCCCAGAACCCACAAGGTGGGTCACAGCCAGCTGTAACTCCAATTCCATGGGATCAGATGTCCTCTTCTGACCTATGTGGGCACCAGGCATGCAAGTGGTGCACATGCAGATGAAAACCCATTCATGAGATTATATATATATATATATATATATATATATATATATATATATCAAAATTTTGAATTAGTACCAATGCAGCCAACCGTATCATTTCAATTTAGACTTTTACTATAAACACAGATCACCTCTCAATACCAGTGCTTAGGATAGGCATAGGCAGCTGTGTCATACAACCTTAGATGAAATCTTTTGCCTCTTTTGCTCATTAAGTCATTTGGGGAAGCCCTGAACTCCTTTGAGAAGGTGGCTAAATATCAGATCCTACCTAACTAAAAATAAGTATGTTGAGAAATTTTAGCATACAGTAAAGTTATACCTGGAATGTCAAAGCTTGCTGCCCATTAGTTGCAGATAAAAAAAAAAGTATTGAATCTTTAAAATTAGCTTTATTCAGCGAGCCATTAACATCCTAAAGACTCTGTCTTCCATCTCATCTCCAGCTAGCAGATTAGATAAGGAGAAGTGGGAATGGAGAGGGACAAAGGGGACAAAGGGACAAAGCCAGTCAGTCTTCCAATGTTCAGCCTTGCCTCTCTGGTCAAGAGATCTGGCACGTTTCTGAGACTTCTGTTGTCTCCCTTGTCAGAACCCCTTGCATTCTTCCTTCATTCTCTGGACATCAGACCTGAGAACTTCTTGAAATCTACTTGTGGTCAATTGGTACCAACCTTGTACTCTTCCAGGGGCATCTGGGCTGGGAGGTGATTGTTACATTTAAAAATCCCAGTTAATGGAAGGGTTAATAGAAAAAACCCAGCACTGGTGATGCAATAAACCAATCAGATAGAATTAACAAATCAAGGTTTAATCGGAGCAAAGCGGTCCCAGGTGGCCCCAGGGGAACAGAAAACACAGGAACCAGGAGATGAATCCAGACGTGGGGGCTTTTAAGGTTCTCCAGGGGTGGAGCTGCCAATGGTAGGCTTTTTAGGGGCAGAGTCTGGACTAAAGTTGACTCTAGGGGAGGGCCCGCCCTCGCCCAAGAGTGGGGTTTGAAATGGGGCTACCAAACATTGCAACCTCTTTGAATAGATACAGAGGTCGGTAGGGCTTCCACCTAACAGCGGTTAACTGAGGACAAACCAATCACTAACGGTGTGTGAGCTTAAGTCAGTAATACAGCGTACCTGGTAGATCTTTTCTGCATCAAGGAGTTCAAGAGTGGCCGTATAACGACACACAATACAGATGTTGTCCTAACATCTTCCTTGAACATTTCTAAGTGTCGGGGATGACTTGATAAAGTGATGCTTCCTGATGGGGTCTACAGATGATGTCTGTTACAAATTGAAGTATTTCTATGATTCTACCGAAAACCGAAGTAGATTTATCGTGCTGTTTAGGGTTAAAATAATGCAGTTGTTTGCCAGGGCTCACGTAACATTTTTTTCTTTTTTGAGAAAAACACTGCGTCTGTCACTCTCAACATAAAGCTGATATTATTGCTGTATACCATATTATCTATAATCACATTACCCCACAAATACAATAAGCAAAATGCTCTGCATAGACAGAGCTTATGAGCTGTATATGGATTCACTGTCAATTGCTTAATTCTGACAAATGAAAAAGCGTCATTACATAATCCTGTTTCTCATTGTTAGCTGAGGCAAAAAACAGAAGTGTTATTTCTGTAATTTTTCAATAATAATATTATCACTTCCATGGTCCCAACTATTTTAAAATACTTTTTTATATTCCTTTAGCTTTTTAATATGTTTCCTGTTTTGGGATTTCTCCTAAGAAGCCACAAGAAGGTCCTAAGGAACAGAGATGAAATATTTTCCGTCATAAGGATGACCTTACTAGAACACCACCAGAATCTTGACAAAAATGATCCCAGAAGTTTCATTGATGCCTTTCTTCTCAGACAGCAGGAGGTAATGGTGTTTTTCTCAGAGTATTATTTTTTTAAGATCTTATTTATTTATTATGTATACAACATTCTGCTTCCATGAATATCTGCACACCAGAAGAGGGCACTAGATCTCATAACGGATGGTTGTGAGCCACCATGTGGTTGCTGGGAATTGAACTCAGGACCTCTGGAAGAGCAGTCAGTGCTCTTAACATCTGAGCCATCTCTCCAGCCCCTCAGAGGATTCTTTAGCCAAAGTTTACCATTAATTTAACTAATTGCTTCTAGAAATAAGTGGGAAACCTGCATAAGACTGAACTAGACTCTCTTAATATATGTGACAATGGTGCAGCTGGGACAATATATGAGGCCACTGGAAGGAGGTCCAAGATCTAACTCTAATGTACAAACTGACTTAGTGGAGCCCATTCTATATGGAGAGATACCTTGCTCAGCTCAGCCTAGATGCAGGGGTATGTGGAGTGGAAAGGTGACTTGTTCCTGCCTCAATCAGATAATGGGATAGACTTAGTAAGAGGCCTTACCCTCTCCGAAGACCAGATGGGAGGGGGGAGAGGGGGAGGGGGAAGCAGGAAGAGAGAGCAGAGAGGCAACTGGGATTGGAATGCAAAAAAATAAATTTAAAAGTTTTTAAAGAGAATTAATATGGTATTTCACAATACTACAATAAAATATGGGAAATGTTTTAATAACTCAATTAAATACAATTTGTAACCTTCCTAAAAAAAAAAAAAAGCCTTTGTTATGTTCAGATTTATTTGCCACTGTTAGCATCTGCGATGTACTCTGTACCCTCAAGTTCTGTAGACAGCTGCATGATAGAGGGAAATTCCTCTAAGTTGAAGAATGAAATACCTGCTGTTTCTAATTTATGGTAATCTTTTACAATTAACCGTTTTGAAATTATTCTATGACTAATGACACATTTTACCATTTTAGGAAAACGATATATCTGCTGACTATTTCAATGAAGAAAATTTGTTAGCCCTTGTTAGCAATCTGTTTGCAGCAGGAACAGAGACCACAGCCACCACACTGCGCTGGGGAGTCACACTCATGATGCGATACCCTGAGGTCCAGGGTGAGTCTCGAAGATTCAGAGCAAATGAAGGAAAACAAAAGTTTCTAGGAATCAAAGATGCAGAAGTCTAGTCATCCTGCATGCCTGTAAATTGTAGCCTTGGCAATAGCTTGAGTGGTTGGTTTCCTTTGAGAATAAGAAAGGAAGCTTTGGGGATGGAGAGATGGCTCAGCAATTAAGTGTGTATACTGCGCTTGCCAAGGATCAGAGTTCAGTTCTCAGTTTGCACACCAGGGGAATCACAACTCTAGGTCCAAAGGCACTTTTTTCTGTAATCCACGGGCACTTGAACTGCCATACATACAGACCACCGCCCCAAACACAATCACACACACTTGAGAACCAAATAAACCTTTAAGAAGACAGTAGGATATGCTCCTTAAGCACCCTGAGATGATCTGAAACCTTCCCATGCTCGTTCGAAGAGTCGCCTTAGAAACAGAAGTAGGAAGTATGATGGAAAAAGCCCCCAAATTGGGAGAACATTTGGGTTTCACTTTCATATGTAAAGAAAACATGTAAAATCATTTGAATCCATGTCCAGGCAGAATGCTAAATTTAATTGCATTGTATCCAGAAAAGGTCCATGATGAGATTGTCAAAGTCGTGGGCTCAGCTCAACCTCGGATTGAGCACCGAACTCAAATGCCCTACACAGATGCTGTAGTTCATGAAATACAGAGGTTTGCGGACATACTGCCCACAAGCTTGCCCCATGAGACAACCACAGATGTTATATTTAAGAACTACTATATTCCAAAGGTAAGGGCTGACGAAGGAGAGAGGAGAGATTATACTTCAGATGTTTACAATGGTAGAAGCACTGAGATCGAAGTTCATTGGCAGTCTTGGTCCACCTTTCCCACCCTGCCTCCCTCTCCTTTTAACTCTCTTTTCCCTTGCCTCCCTCCCCATCATCCATAATAAGATAACTGAGCGAGTGTGGGGTGTGTGTGTGTGTGTGTGTGTGTGTGTGTGTGTGTGTGTGTGTGTGTGTGTGTCTGTGTGTCTGTGTGCGTGTAACTGATGACAGCCGTTCTCTAAGACTTGTAACATATGATCCTATTTTATAACTGAGGAAAAAATTGAATTTGGGGGATTTAAAGCTTTTCTGGAATAAAAGGTACTCCTTGAAGGAGCCAGGATTCCAGGAAGCTGTCATGATCAGAGCCCTGAGCTTTTTCCAGGCAGGCTCCCACATCAGCATCCCCATGCTTCAATCATATCTTCCCATGGAATCATGCACACTGATTCCCAGGCACCTACTTTGTGCAAACCTTTGAGGTCCCATGGAAAACTGAAGACATGTATGTATACCTTCCTAAAAATAGACTAAAAGCAAGCATGAGCAGAAGGTTGTGACAGGCACCTGGA